TTCCCATAGTCATGAGTAGCTAAATTCCTTGTCTAAGGCGTTGATGGAACCTATTGGGTGATGAACTTCTTGTTTATGTGAATACAAGTTGCTAGTTTAATCTTTATTTGTTCAACTTCGTGTTCGTTGTAGTTAATTGACAGGATCCTCAATTAGCTGTGCCTATTTAGTGTGCATAACTTGGAAAAGAGTGCATATTTAGGGTATTGTTGAACAACACCACTCCTAGATTATTAGAGGAATCTATAATTGCGGGTTTAAAGGCGGGATTAGGAATAACGAAGCCTTGGGTGCAATCTAAATTGAATTGTGCTAAATAAAGTAAGCTAGTGTATCTCGGGAGAGTGCAATAGTAAATTACTGTGATTACTCGGGAGAGATTGACGGTAAGATTAGCGTTCATGATTGATAGAGATGTGTGGGTAAATTTGTATGAGCGTAAACAGAAGGGATTCCATCAATAGGGGAAATCATTGCCTTAGCTTTTTCTCATAATTGTTCACAACCTTTATTTTTTTACTTAGTTACAGCCATTTAGTTATTTGCAAGCTAGTTATTAAAGAACACTCAACTGAGATTTGAATATTTGGGAAGCTGGTTCTGAAGAATTAGTGGGTCTGAAGATAGCGGTTGGTAGGTTAACTCTCTGTGGATTCGACCCTGGGCGTAATACTCGGGTTATATTTGCAACGTCCGCAAAGTCTTTTTTATAAGGCATAGTTGGGCGTGATCAACAAACCATCAAGATTGATTATAGCACAATATTAAATATAATTTATCTTGATTGTGGGTATGGTTTAATTCAGACCTCTTGTGCTAGTACATTTTGTATGTATTGAACAGACCAAGTAGAGATAAGTATTTTATACTGACTTAATAAAATAAATTCTCTAGCCATTAAATGTACTTATACTCTTAATCTTGATATAATTATTATTAGTTGTGTATATTATTATTGTTTTGATTTATTAAAAGGCGAGTTTCTTTCAATATGCCTGGTAAATTGGACAATAATGATATACATTGGAAAAGTAATAATTAGTTGATGGAATCCATGTCTCGGTCTAGAGATTGATGATACACCTTTATGAAAGCTTATAAGTTTTCATGTGTAAACTCTGCAGGTGGATTTTGTATCCGTCACATGAAATAAGTTAAGCGAACGTCTAAAAGAAATAATCAATAAATTAAATTATCAGTAATTTAATTTATTTGATTAGTATCTAAATCTTAACATTGGGAGTCAAATAAGGTTTATTGGAAGAATTTCGAAATTGAATTGAGGAGTGCAATTACGAATTTTTAGTGGAATAATTCGTAATTTATTATGGTAGTATTAATTCGTATATTTCGAATTAAGTCCATAATAGGAAGCCTCGTTAATTAAATACCGTAGTCCCTGCTGTGCCTGAATAATTAGGAATTAAATGGAATTCTATATCTTGGTGGAAAAGGAAGACCCAACAGGTTTAGAAAAATGTTTTAAACCCTAAAACTTGTGGCTATATAAAGGGGGTCTTATTCTATAAGGAGGCGAGGGTTTTACAACACGGTTTTCTAGGAGAAATCGCGCACACGAGTTTCGCTAATTCCGGGCATTATCCGGGTCACACAGCAGAAGATCGTGGAACTGGAGGATGATCTCGTGGATGGTTTTTGCTCATGCTTGAACGTCTTTTCGCGATTGTAGTCACGCTTCAAGAGATAAGTATGGATTTTATGTTTGATTAAAATCTCTGATTATACATTGTCTATATTACATGCAAGTAATCCTAGCTATTTGCTTCCGCTGTTCATACCTGTTTTCCTTCATTTACCACTTCTGCAACTTCTTCGCCACAATACACAGCTAATTAAATCAAATATTTAATTATTTTAAATAAAATGTGCTCTATGAAGACCAATAATGTTTAATTTTATTATTGCGTAAACAGTACAACCACTTGCTAAAAAAAATGCGGTTTTTATTTTGCAAGTGGTTAGGACAACACCACTTCCAGACTGTTATAATTTTCTTCCTATTCTACCATTATTACTTTAAAAAATATTATTTAATTATTTTAAAATTTAATTTTAATAAAAAATATTAACTAATACTAATTTCTTCTTATTCTACCACTGTTACTAAACTACCATTAATTAAATGTTGCAGCATAATTTAATGTGAGGAGTAAAAGACTTTTTAGGGATAGATACATAAGGGTAATTTTGAAAAAACAACTTGAATATTTTCTTGATTATATAAATAGACACTTATTTTGGACCAAAATAAAAAACCAAATTGATTGATCACTTATTGGAGCGAGTAATATATCAATCTCTTTCTAAACTTGTCTTCAAGTTATTTACTTTACAAATTTTATTTCATAACAAAAATTTAATTCTTTTTTTTTTCTAATAAAAAAATAAGAGTTTAACTTGTTACATTACTTAAAATAAATTTTAATTTATTGTATAACAAAATTTTAACTTTTCATATATCAACTGTATACTTGGAACTCCTAGTCAACTGCTTACTAATATTAACGTTATCCACTGACTAGGTTTTCCTCCTGGGACTCATCATCTCCCTTTCAATTCTACTTTAACACATTCAAATCCTTTCCACGATTTCGTCCTCCCTCCCTTTTTTCCCCACAGTGAACCGTACGTACTATACTTCCTTCTACTCATAATTTCTAAATTATTGCTTTAATTCATAATAATGGAGGGTGGAGGAGTAGGAGTAGAAGGAGAAGAGTATAATCCCCGGAGTGTGGAGGATGTTTTTAGGGATTTCAAGGCTCGTCGTGCTGCCTTGATTAAGGCCCTTACCACAGGTTCTCTTGCTTTTTTCAAAAATATATTATTTTTTTGTGAAATTAGGGTAAGATTTATATATTTAGAAATTATATTTAAAAAGTTACAATTTTTAATTTTTTTTGTGAAAATAATAGACCCCCTCTTTTGTTGAACAAAATCATATATTTTTGACTTCTCATATAGTAGTAATTGTGTCTTCCTTCAGATTTTTGTCTATTTGTCTTCATAAAAACTATATCTTTATCTAATTGTGTTTTTTTTTTCTGGTAAAATTCCAGATGTGGAAGAATTTTATCAGCAATGCGATCCTGGTAAGTTTTTTCTTCTAGTTGGAGCTTCCGTACGAAGTTTGGAAAATTTTCACTTGAATGACCTGTAACTATAGTAACTGAAATTTTGATTGTTGTTTCATTTTAGTTTTGTGTACTTATTAGAGAATATGATTGCACTAGATGAAGATGATGTCATTGTGCGTTGGCCGTGAATGTTATCTGCCATTGATGCAGGAATTTATTTGTTCATGAGCAACTTTTTTGTCCATGTTGTTATGTGTATGTGTGTATTCTTCTTTTTCCTGAAAAGATTTTGAAGGAAACAGAATCAGTTCATTATGAGCAAGTTACACAGATTTGTGCTAGTTGTCAACTTGTCGTATGGTGATAAAAAAATCTAGAACTGACCCACAGTAACTGTTATATCTGGTCCCAGCCGTTTACTTGACTTAGAAGTCAATGTGATGTCTGATGCAATCACATGCGGGAAGGAAGCTATGTTGAAGGAGACAAGGAACATATTATGCCTTGTGAATACAACTTTATTGTTTGATTAGATTAGACACTAGCCACACATCTGCTCCATTTTTCGTTTTTGCCCCCTCTTTCTTCTTTCCCTTGAACTGGCTCCCTTTTCATTCTATGGATAGTAAGGTGGTGGTGATATGTGATTTTGCTGATATAAGTGCTCAGAGTTGGAACAAAGGATTAGGGTGTGTTTTGGTCCTAGGAATTTATGTAGGAGCAGCCAATTGATTAGCTCTTTTTTGTTACGATCAATTCGGCTTTTTTCTTTTCTAATTGCTCAATCATTTGTCTTTATTTGTACCACACACAGTGAGATCCCTTAGGAGAAAATTAGACTGCAATGGGTTTTTGAATCAGCAATAATGGTAAAATGTTTGATAAATGGTTGTTTAAACATTTTATTCCATCTGTTCAAGCCTCTGTAGACATAGTTATTGGTACTTATTGCTGGTGGGAGGTAGCATGTATCCTCTGGATACCATGGTTATAAAAAAAAAATGGTTGTTTAAACAGCTCAAGGGTTAACAATACATGTTACTTTTATAAATCTGGCATTGTCACGTTTCAGTGGCCAGCCTGCGTAAAAGAACTGCCACCATACATGTGACCTTCTGCAGCTTACTATGTTTGGCACGTCAAGTTCTTTGCAGCCCCCTCTATTTTGTTCCATTAGCCAAGGACAAAAACAAAAAATGATTGAAGAAGTGTAAACGCTCTTGCATATCAATTATTGCCATACTTGTAATAAGTGTTTATCCTCCATAGAAGCAGAAGAACACTTATAAATTACAGGGCATTGAGCTTAAAATATTGTTTATCCCGAGTCTTTGCTCCTGATTTTTGCTTTTACTCCCTTGCTTCTGTAGCTCTGCTAAATGAGTGTACCAATATATTGTCCGACATAGCGGTGATTTATGGATGAAAATATTTGCTTAAACTTTTCAAAAGTGAACTTGCTTTGCTGTTAGAAGTGTCATATGTATTGTCACTAACTTATATTCTGCTACCGGATGTGTCATATCTTTCTCTTTTTATTGAGTCTCAGTTTGTGGTGATATTTACTAATGCTCCTTTTTCATGCTGTGGACCCCTTCTTCACGGAATGAAAAGCTTTTGGTTAACATTAATGTGGTATCCTTTAATTTGGCAATTTAATTCATCTATTATGATGTGTATAGTTTCTGGTTCAAGCTGTCAAACCTGTCCATTGTATGTTATGCAGAGAAGGAAAACTTGTGCTTATACGGACTTCCGAATGAAGAATGGGAGGTCAATCTGCCTGCTGAAGAGGTACCACCAGAGCTTCCCGAGCCTGCTCTTGGTATTAACTTTGCTAGGGATGGGATGCAAGAAAAGGACTGGCTATCCTTAGTCGCAGTCCACAGTGATTCTTGGTTGCTTTCTGTTGCCTTCTATTTTGGTGCTAGATTTGGGTTTGATAAGTCCCACAGGTACTCCTTCTCGTCCAAACATTTTTTATTGTTGTCAGTAATATTTCGATGCTTAAAGACTGTTAAGAGCATTGGTTGATAGAAAAGTATCAGTAGATAACTGAAACTCTGTTTTTGATGTGATCAATCTAGGATATTCTCCATTCCAGTTATTCATTTGATATTTGTTCATATGATTTATAAAGCAATCTCTTCTTGTTAATTCTGATTCTCAGTGCTACAATCTGTTGATCTATTTTCCCTGGTTTGTTTTCTTTATCAAATTCATGCCTCTATTAGAATTGGGATTGTTGCATTGTTTTTATTGAGGTCGGTAATATAGTTCAGACACTCTTGGCATCTAGCTGCTGCTAACAGACTGTGCTACTTTGCCAGAGAAGGTGCAAATATTAAGCCTGTTTAATACTAAGTTGTATGCATGGGTAGAACTGAGCTGATTCGATCAGACCACTAGGTGTTCCAGTTACATGCCAAAAAGATTCTTCCTTAAACTTGGTTACTATTTATTATATGGTCAAATCCCGAATCAATGTTAAAAAACAATAGACGGTTGACCTCTCGTTGCTCGGATTTCTATATGATTAACGTACCTAATGTTTTTCAAGCCTATGTTGGGCTAAGCCCAGTCAATCAACCAACATCGAATGGTACTCAAGCTCAAGTATGTTCTTTGAAATTGTGAAAGAGCTCTTATTGAGGCAAGGTTCAATTACTTGATTTAATTTGAATTCATTTCCACATTTTGTGTTTGCTACATGTAGGATCCTTTTGTCAGAGAGTTTGATAAATTGAAAATGCTCCAACTTTTTCCTTAGAAAAGTAAATCTGATGTTAATGGGAAGTCATGTTCTGGTTATTTTCTCATAAGCCCTACTGTGTAGAGGATATAGTCCATTAGGTCCGCATTCCTATTAATCTACCCAAGGTTGTGCCTTCTTTTGAGACACACATCAGAATATACAGTCAATATGTGCCTCGGTGGTGACAGAAGTCATCAGACTTCCACACATCATGAAGTTTACTGCATTTATTTTCTCCCTTGCTCATAGTTTCCTACTTTTTTTCTCTCAGGAAGAGGCTTTTCAACATGATAAATGATCTGCCTACAATATATGAAGTAGTGACTGGTGCTGCCAAGAAACAACAGAGAGAAAAATCTTCCATCTCCAGCCACAGTGGCAAAAAATCCAAGTCAAATTCTAAAGTGGTAAGGACTATTATTGCAGAATAGGTTGGTTTCAAGTTAGATGTATCATGATGTTTGAATTATTATGAGGCAACTTTCCATTGGATGCATAGCTTGCATGATTTTGGGAGATTTTAATTTTTAACTCTCTCTTTCCTTTCCAATACTTTTAGTAGACTAAACTAGTGAAATATATTAGCACTGCAAGCGTAAGAATATTTGTAGTCACTAATTGTAATACTAAGAAGGCTTACTTTATAAAATACATTAAGAGCCTTGCAACTAATTAAGTTAGTAAAGGTTTTACTATGAATTCGTACATCACTTGTGCGCAGGACATTTCTTTATTCCTTGCTCGGAGATCATGTCTTGAACTAGCTGATTTGGTCTAACCTTGAGATGATACCTACCATTTCTGCACATGATCTTGACTTCTTTGGTTTTTCATTGTTTTTTTTGGGTGACAAACACAGAGGGCACCAGATTATCAGGAGAAGCTTACGAAGTTGCAGCCTAAAGATGAAGAGGAGGGCTTGGATGAGCAGGATGAGGAGGAGCATGGCGACACACTTTGTGGTGCCTGTGGAGAAAATTATGCGGCAGATGAATTCTGGATATGCTGTGACTTATGTGAAAAGTGGTTCCACGGCAAGTGTGTGAAGATTACCCCTGCCAGAGCTGAGCATATTAAGCAATACAAGTGTCCAGCTTGTAGCAACAAGAGGGCTCGAGTTGACATATAAAATCGGATAATGTAGCATCTTACTGCCTTTGTTGGATAGGTTATTCAGGTTGTTTGGCTCTAACTTATGTATTTGTAATGGTTAAGCTTCATCTTTGTATACATTTGGCTCTAACATGCGGGATGACCTAGGGTTCTAATTGTTGGTTTAGTGATAAATAGTCTTAATTCAGCCAAACAGGTCCACATTGTGATTTTAGATATTTAATTTCTTTCTATTTTAGTGGGATTGAGTCTCTTTATTGTGATCTATTGAGCTTCGACCCCCTTTCTCTTTTTTTGCAATATTCACTTATATGCAATTAGTCTATCGGAAACAATTTCTCTACCTTTGGATAAGGTCGGCGTATACACTACCCTTCCCAGATTCCACTTGTGAGATTACATTGAGTTTGTTGTTGTTGTTGTGTCACTTATATGCAATTGTGTTGCCTAGCATTGTAAATAATGACCATGTTGATTATATCATTCAAAAGATGGTGTACTCACATCATATATTTCCTAGTCGCCCTTATCCAAAGGAATTGAATAGGCTTATTAAGGTGTAAAGCTCTAATAAGATGTTTGTATATTTAGAGTTCAAATACGAAAGCTCTAGTTTTATTGGTTTTTTTGTTGAATTTTTAAAAATTGATCTCACGTCTTAAACTAAGGTAAATCATTTGCATTTGTTTATATAATAAAGTCATTCTTAATAATCTACTATGTCCACATTTTCTCTTTTGTACTTTTTTGTATTTGAAATATTAACTTATATTCGAGTTAAGATACTCGATGTTTGTGGTTCAGTAGAAATACTTTCAGGTAAATTAGCAACACAAAAATTTACACATTCTCGATATTTATTTTTCGAGTAAGGGGTCGTTTGTTTGGGAAATTTATACTAAAATTAATTGTTCTGGAATTAGTTATTTCGGTACTGTTATTCCACCTTATGGGATAAAAATAAGCTATAATCTTGGAATAATTAATTCCATAAACATAATTTTATCCCAATTAAATATAAAATAATCTCATTATAAATTTAATCTTGGGATTAATTATCTCTTATTTCTCGTACCACCAAACGAGCCCGTAATTTATTATTGGCAACTCTATACGTGCACTTTCTTATTTAACCACTTGAGCGTACATTTCTCAGCCCTGCTTTTTACAATCTCCACTGTCCAATAGCCCACTGTCACTGCTTCGACAATGGCGGCTTCTTCAACTTGCATGTTCAGATCCTCTTTCTTCTCTCCCAATCCCCATCCAAAGCAACAATCCCCTGCTAAATCTAACGGCGTTCACTTCTTCACTCCTATTAAAGCCACAGCTTCTTCTACGGATGACGCAATCTCCGCATCTACACAACCTCTAAAACACCGCCGCCCTGCTGATGAGAACATCCGTGAGGAAGCCCGCCGCCACATCTCTTCCCACAATTTCTCTGCCAGGTATCAACTATCACCTACCATTGCCCTTCCACTTCGACGGTGTATATAAATAGGGGTTTTAGTTCCTGAGTTATTGCTTTATTCCTGTTTTGGTTTCTGTATTATTCGACTGAGCTCATTTTACCTTCAATTCATTCAAATATGTGGTTTTCAGTTCCTGAAACTAACAGACAGTGAAAAAACTTTTAAGGGAATTGTTATATTAAATGAAAAAAAGAAAAAAAAAATTGAAGAAATAGTGTGGCAATCAAAAAGCCCTCTTTCCAAGGTATTCTTGATTAATCATCCTTCAAGATTCCTTTTTTCCGTTGTTTTTCAGCTTAATTTGTATCCTATGCGGGAAAATAATTGGTATTTTGGGGGTTCTAAATTATGGGTCGTCCTTGGAATTTTGAGTGTTGGGAGTGCTAATGATGTGAGAGAGCTTGATAGTTCTTTGAGGCAAATGAAGAATGGTTCAGAAAGGATCCAACTCCTCACGAGATTTAAAGTATAAAAGCTGCATACTCTTAATTTGATGCGCATCAACCATCGGTGCAGGAGCATCAAAGATGATCTGTTGCAGGCAGAGTTTACACTTTATTCACCTTTTATCTTATGTTTGTTTTTAATAATGATTCTGTTAAGTTTTTTTACAACGTTAAATCAGGGATCAAAATCACACATTTGTTTTAATTGAAGGCTGTGTATACTCAGCTGAATATTACGGGAATCAAAACTGGAATAATGGAATAGCAGATCGACTAAGTGATTGTAATTGTACTAGGCACCTACTTAAAATTTTGCATCTGCTTCTACAGGTATGTGCCTTTTAATGCCGATCCTAACTCCAGTGAGTGGTATTCTCTCGACGAGATCATTTATCGCAGCCGCTCTGGTGGCCTACTTGACGTCCAACATGATATGGATGCTCTCAAGAAGTTTGATGGGCAGTACTGGCGCTCCCTGTTTGATTCCCGGGTGGGCAAGACCACTTGGCCTTATGGTTCTGGTGTTTGGTCCAAGAAAGAATGGGTCCTACCTGAAATTGACAGTGATGATATTGTCAGTGCTTTTGAAGGAAATTCCAATCTTTTTTGGGCTGAGCGTTTCGGCAAACAGTTCCTGGGTATGAGTGATTTGTGGGTCAAACATTGTGGAATCAGCCACACTGGTAGCTTTAAGGATCTTGGCATGACTGTACTGGTGAGTCAAGTAAATCGGTTGCGGAAAATGCATAAACCAGTCGTGGGTGTCGGCTGTGCTTCCACTGGAGACACGTCAGCTGCACTGTCGGCTTACTGCGCATCTGCAGGCATCCCATCAATTGTATTCTTACCTGCAAATAAGATTTCTATGGCGCAACTGGTTCAACCAATAGCCAATGGGGCTTTTGTGTTGAGTCTCGACACTGATTTTGATGGTTGTATGCAGCTGATTCGCGAAGTCACAGCTGAGTTGCCCATTTACTTGGCAAATTCCTTGAATAGTTTGAGGCTAGAAGGGCAAAAGACGGCAGCAATAGAGATTCTGCAGCAGTTTGACTGGGAAGTTCCCGACTGGGTGATAATTCCTGGTGGGAACCTGGGCAATATATATGCATTTTACAAAGGTTTTCAAATGTGCAAGGAGCTGGGACTTGTTGATCGCATCCCAAGACTTGTTTGTGCTCAAGCAGCCAATGCTAATCCACTTTACTTACATTATAAATCTGGTTGGAAAGAATTCAAATCTGTCAAGGCAAATACAACATTCGCATCTGCTATACAGATTGGTGACCCTGTATCTATCGATAGGGCTGTTTATGCTCTGAAGAACTCCAACGGGATAGTGGAGGAGGCAACTGAGGAAGAGTTGATGGATGCGATGGCTCAGGCGGATTCAACTGGGATGTTCATATGCCCCCACACTGGTGTGGCATTGACAGCACTATCCAAGCTGAGAAAGACGGGGGTTATTAGGCCAACTGATAGGACTGTTGTTGTGAGTACAGCTCATGGGTTAAAGTTTACTCAATCCAAGGTTGATTATCATTCAAAAGGAATAAAGAACATGGAATGCCGGTTTGCTAATCCACCAGTGCAGGTGAAAGCAGACTTTGGATCAGTCATGGATGTTCTCAAGAAATACCTGTTGAGCAAAAATTCCAAGTTCTAATTTGTTGGCAGAGTAAGTTCTGCTTATATACCAAAATCTTCATCTTTTGGTTCATCTCGTTCACGCATGGTGTAGAATTTGGTTAGATGCTGATCCATCTGCTGGTAGAATTAGGTAGTCATGAAAGGCTCACAGTTTCTTATGAGCGAAATAAACTTTAAGTAATTCAATGGAACATTTTGGTGGTTGTAACTTTCTGCTATTTATATGCTCCTTTGATTATGTTGGCAAGTACCAGAATTGGTTCTGAACATTTTGTAGAGCATAGCATCTGCTTTATTTGGGTGGTGGTTTCTAGTACTTTGAGGGGATGTCACCCCTGTTCATTTGTATCCTACACAGAGAACATGAAAACAGAGGAAAAAGCCCCTCAAATGGGATTGCCTCACGAAGTGCTTTTGATAGCTAAAAGCAAAAATTCTACCTTTTCTTGGAAGGGGAAACAAGTTTATTTTATATGTTTTTTGCCACCTTAGCAGGGTCATTGATATCTTAGAGAGGTTTTATATTTTAGAAACTGTAGCTGTGTACTGGCATCTTATTCCATTAGTCTCGCTTTGCATGTAACTCTCTTGCAGAAAGGCTCTCAGTTGGTAATTTATTAGATTTCCTCACCAAAATTGTTCTCTTGAACCACACAAGTTGATCTTCTTCTGCATGCTCTTTGTTACATGAGTCATAAATGGGATGAAATTGGATCAACTTGTGTGAAGCCGATCCAACATTACTCAATGAATAGGCTCACTCTGGCAACCGAAAGATTGGACATACCATTGCTTCCTGTGACCTACTTAGATTCTGCGTCTACTGCTCTCTACATTTAGTTGTTCCCTCCATAAGAAACTCGGCTTCATCAGAGTCCCTAACTTTAGTTTTTAAATAAGAATTAGTACTTGATTTGCGCATATGATTTGTGTGGTGGACTAGAAATGTGGCTAAAGTTGCTCGTTGGGCTAAGATGAGTCCTCGAACATTCCTGCATATATGACTTCGATAAATTGGTGTTTTCCACTGGCATTGCAGCTGAAACTGTTGAATGATTATTGAGCTTAAATGTTATTGACGGCACTAATAAGTACTTACCGTCCCCACTAAGATAGTGAGTCCAGAACCCATTTGTGGTTCTTTTGGACAAGTGTGACATAAATGCGTGTAAAAAAAAAGAGTGATCATTCTATATATAGCGCTCTTTTAAAGAGCGCTATACTTTAACGGAGTTTTGGCTGTTAAAGTATAGCGCTCTTTTATATAACGCATTAAAGAACCGCGCTATGCTGTGATGATATGACAGCTATGTATAGCGCTGTATATAACCACGCTATATATGTATGCGCAGTTATATACCGCGCATTACATAGATAAATATTCTTCCCCACGATCATCGATAAAAAGTTGTAGTGGACCCCACCGGTCACACAAAAAGATAAGATTGTAGGTCCTACATCCTAGCCAAGCCTTCTATTGTTGTGGCCTCCTCGTTTTGGGCTCAAATTTTCAATTCATCGACTTTCCGAAAACATAAATCAAGGTATTCCGATTTAGTTTATGTCGAAACTCGTATAATAATGCATATTAGTTGTTTTGAATGTGTTTCCATGTTGTTTTGTGTTTTTTTGCGATTAAACTAGTATGTTATTTTTATTTGGACTAAGATATTAGTATTCTAAAAAAATATGTA